AAATGTGACATAGATACTTTATTATGGTATAGTATTTAAAAATATGCCTGAGAAACACATTATATTGGCCCTTTAAAACTAATATTAGTAACTTTACCCAATGAATTTAGTGAATTTAGAGGGGTGTTTCACATTTTCTGATTCAATGATAGGTCTACTCATAATAAACACAGAACATTATGCAGCCTTCATAACATAAACTGACACTGTTATGGTTGCAAAAAAATTTGTCACCATACTGTAAGTCCAAAAGTTGACACCATGAGTCAGATTACAGGCATAGGTTCTGTCTATAAAGAAAATCATCACTTCCTTGTCATTACTCTTCTTCAGTGAAAAGAAATAGAAATGGACAATGCAAGATTTGTCTATGGTGGCCATGGCCACCCCTGGCCACCCCCTAGCTCCRCCCCTGAACACAACACTTTGGATGCCACATCACCTGTTTGTTCCACTGTCTGATTACCTGATTCAAGATGGCCGCCACAGCTAATTGACCTTAGTCTATTTTACTTTTATTGAGCTAAAGTTTAGTGTTGAAACTGAGAACCATCCCCAGCACATAACCTGAGCCCTTTCAGATTGAGCCAAATCTTTATTTAAAACATTGGCAATAACTGTTTGAGTCAACCTTATCTGTTAGCAATATCTCCTACTAAGAGTTGGATTTTAATGAAACTCTCAGACGTTAATCATTGGATGTAGATCAAATGGTTTTTATTCTGAGTCAACCAAATTCTAAATATCCACCACGGCCAATCAATGTTAGCAAACACAAAATGATTTTATTTAACTCAGTTTAACTTAAATTGAGTTTTAGTGTGGTAGTAGGCTAACCGAGAATCATTTCAAAATCATACTTGGTAGACAAACCGATTTCACAAAACCTTTGCATGCCAGTCAGTGAAAGAGCTGCWTTATTTAAAGGATGAGTAATTTTTAAATTCTTTTTCCAGCGTTTGTTGCATTTTGCTCATCCTCCCTCCCTGRTTTTCTGCAGTGCAACACTTGACACAATGTCTAATCTTTACGTCTGCTGAAACTTGGTCACAGAGGAAAGAAAGCCGTAAAAAGAGCACATGTCTATAACATAGGCTGCATGTTTACCACTCTGGTCTTATCACGTCGACCCAATAATTCACACTCTCACACACACACATGCTTGTTTTTCCTCGGGCAAACGCTATTTGCTGCCAAATCTAATTCAGTCCAAGCACACATGGCTTCAGACACCATGATGTGATTGAATAAATAAAAAAGAAGTATTTCCTGAGGCTCTGTGCTGTTTCCACCCCCCCCCCACCCCAACACCACATCCTTATCTTTAATTCTATTCTTGTTAGACTTAAACCTCCTTTACAGTGGCAGATCTAGGATTTTTCTGAGTAAAGGGCCATCAAGGGGCAACAATATTCACAGAGGGGTCAAGTATTTATTTAACATCATTGCACACAAATCCCCAGTTGTTTTAAGATGTATCCATTTAACCAGTCACACATGTTTAAACTTGTAATTAAAAAAGCTTACATAGTAAATTCTACTTACCAATTGTACATGTATTTTTACTGATTAAATAAAATACTCTCAAGCACACAGCACGTGAGAAAATTCAGCCATCGTTTGTCAGCTGAAAGACTTTTTCTGTAGGATTCTTCAATTTTTTCTTAAGAAGAGAAGAAGATTTCTGTAAGCTTGATTCATGCTGGACTTTCCCATTTGATTCATTAGCGCCACTAGTGTTTGGACATGGAACTGCATCCACCATCATGGCTCTCGGCCTGGCAAAGGACAGATGAGTGACAGGACAGGGGCACTTTAGAGGGCCAGTCAGATTTCAGCTGGGGACAAATGCCGCTTTGGCACTGCCCCTAGAACTGCCCCTGCTCCAACACTCCACCTAAAACTTAAAAAGGAATACAGAGAATTTCATTCTCTGCAATAACTCATTTAGCTGAGAGTGAAGAATAAAGGCAATTAATTGCTGAGCTGCAGATGATGTCATATCGACGTCATGAAATGCACCCGGGGGGCAGGAAGCAAATGCAGCCCCATTTCCTTTGGTTCATTCAGCGTCAAAATGCCAAACTTCTGTGCTGTGTACGGTTGTTGCAGCCACTCTAATCGGAAGAAATATAAGTGTTTTTTCGTATTCTAAAAGCAGTGTGTCCCAAGGGAGTATATTTCAAAAAACTTACAGAAAAAAGTGGAAATGGACAATGCAAGAGTTTGCAGTGACCACTTTCTAACAGGTCAGGATCATGTCGTTTAAATCCTATTTTCAGATATTTTCCTGGATAGTTACTTGAATTTRGGTTTACAGAAGCTAAATAAATTATTTACAAGTAGATCCAAGCACATAGAAATAACAGGCATTAACTCGTTAGTGTTAGCAATAACTGTTATCATAGACTAACTACTTAAAATAGCACAACTCACTACTCACCCTGGCAAAAAACAAGTCGAAAGCCATTCAAAGCTTCTTTTGGTTGACCCAACTTGAAACAAAATAAGCTTTTGAAAGCTTTTATCTGGCTCATCGTATAATACAAGGTCTGCAGCACCAGATAATAGTTTATCGATCATCTCAACGGTGGGTGAATCCTCCAGATTATATAAGTCTTTCTTTATTAAGACAAAATGGATCATATTCTAAATGTACACGTATGTTTTTGTGATACCTTGTCTGTGACGAGGTATTGCATTAGTCTTGCATTAATGTACTCGCTGTGATCCATTTCGCTGTGTTTTGAACCGGAGCAAATCACTTCCTACCCCCCATGTGAATTTTGCGCATCATTCGGGTCACGTGACCCAAACCCAGTAATTATAGAGTAGAATAGAACAGAAATAGCCTTTACTGTCCTGCGAAGGGGAAATTCAGGTGTCACAGCAGCATCAGTACAGAGGTTCACACATTAGTTACATTACAAACAATAGATTGTACACACAAAACAAAATTAACACTGACTAGCCATGATACAACTACTAATAATAAAAATATCCATCCATCCATCCATTTTCTGTACTCGCTTCTTCCTTTTCAGGGTCACGGGGGTCACTGGTGCCCATATCCAGCAGTCACAGTGCGAGGGGCGGGGTACACCCTGGACAGGTYGCAAGTCCATCACAGGGCTAATAAAAATATAATATAAAGAATTGTGCAAGAATAGAAAACAATGTTTTGTTTCAGAATCCGACATTAGGAATCAGAAATTGCCTGTTTTCAGTACAAAACAATCTCAACAGACCAATAACTGTAAATTGAAGTATCACAATAGAGACAAGGAACACAGATGTACAATTACAGCAGAGTATAGTGCAAATGATTGTTCAGTTGAGTAATTACAATGAATAGTAACAGTACAAATGATTGTGCAGCAGCAGGTGTGTAAACACTTATTGTAAATATACTGTACATAATGACGTGGTTTTTTGGCAAATAATCATAAGAGAGTACAGAAAATATGAGTAAATGAGCTCGCTAGCAGCCTCTGAGGACCTATTCACGTCATCATTTACCCAGAATGCTTTGTGTGTAAATAAAATGGCTCCATCCGTGCATAAAAACTGATAAAAACTGAATTCTGCCTCTCTCACCCTCCATTGCATTCTGCACACAACCTATAATTGGTCCATTAGTGCTGTTGTAATTGTGGCAATATTTCTACAACACTGCAGCTCCTAATAAAAGAACAGTCAACAGGCAACCAATGTTAGTATACTTATGAAAAAATGATCCTTGCTCTATCTCTGCATCAGTCCCAGACTGAAAAATGTTGAACACCGCTAAAAGATGTTGCTCTGCAAGTGCTTTGTGCCAGTGTTCAGCACAGATGTCATTTCCCATAAAATCGAGAGCATGTAACGCAGAGACAAATCAGACCTTGGCTGGTGAGTGATGTTCCTAACAACTAGAGGGTGAGACAGAGTGCCACAGGGGTTCTTTTATGCAAAGGAAGTGCCTTTAAATAAATCAGCTTGATTCAATGCAAACTGTCATCTACTGCAGTCTGCCCATGTTTGCATCAGACATCTGCATTATATGAGAYGAAGCGGTTTAACGTGATGCTCTGCAGAGGTGTGTGTTTGCAGCACACAAAGCAGCTCTGTCTGAAGCCTGGAGAGAGAGAAAAGCAAGCACCATCATGGCTGTGACCCCCCCCMCACACACACACACAAACCCCCCCAAAAGCACCAGAGATGAGCACTTGTTTGTGGTGATCTGCTCAGTGCTCCTCTCTGCATTCAGGACCCGTTTTATACGCTCTGATCTGAGGCCTGCTTGAATTTCTTGGAGCCTCTTTGCGGTATTAGTGGTGCCCTACATGAGAACAAGCCAGCACAGACACACAAAGACCAACAATAAGCACACACACATACACACAAGTTTATTTTCACATCCTTACTGGGACGTTTTATCGAGTTCCACTCATTTCCATAGCCTATAAATGTAACCATTTCCATGCATTTAAACTCAGTTTAAAATGATGTTAGTATTGCATCTCTTGTCATAATAATGACTCTTTGGTCCCTGTAAGTACTAATAATTTTGACAAAGTTGGTGATTCTACCAGAAAAGTTCCTGAAAAGGAAACAAAAACTGGTCACACACACACTAAACCCCCAAAGTGTTCACTGTTTGCATTCTCCTCCATTAAACAACTAGTAATTTCAATTTATCATCTAATAACCAGCAGGAATATTTATTAAATCTGATGTCTGTGGGTAGATATTAGTTTGAGAAACAAAGAGGAARAAGAGAGAGAGGATGAAAGCAGAGAGACAGACAGGCCATCAGATAGACGGTCATGGGGTGTGATGTGAGCATGTTAGTTTGCTGCAGGCCTCAGCTGCACACCAGCCTGCGCTTCTTCTTCTTCTTTTTTTTAATCACCCAGCTGGCCTGTGCCCAGTGAAGCAGGGCCGGACTCTTTCACGCTCCAGCCCACAAGCGCCGCCCTGCGCCGTTAACCCCTCACTCAGCCACACTCTAACTCAGCCACCAACACACTGCGACACACAACCAAAAAAATGAATCATTCTCCTGAAGTTAAAATGCAGCTGGCTTTTAACCCTGACTGTTTAAATGTTGCCTTTCATGGTAAAATTCTAAAAACATTCTATGATGAAAAATAAAATTATAGCCATTTTGGTCAAACCCTGTACACAATCTCATATTAATACATTTTTCAAGATGAGTTAGCCCTCACATTATATAATGAGGATAAATCTCAGCTAGCACCATGTCAAAATATATCTTAAAGGCACAGTGTGTAGGATTTTGTCGAGTCTTTTAGCCGAAATTGAGATAATCACTAATGACAATAATAAAAAATATATCTAATCATTGCAGACAAAGACCTTGTTTTATTATTTTTACCTTATAAAAAGCT